TTTTATTGGATAACGATTAATAATAAATAAACAAATAATAGTAATACAAATGAAGATTAAAATACTGCAATAAGTTTTATTAACCATTGAGTTGAGAAGTTTTGAAACAAATGTTGAATGGTAGAAACACTATATTGACTTGCTTGATATATGTTTTCTAACATTGCACAACCAGTTGAGAAAATGCTTTTTTTTCTGTCATATCGCTGTGGAAGTGATTTTTTTATTGCAATTTTTCTTGAAAAAATTCAAAACAGTGAGCAAAAGATAAAGCAAACAATAATGTTATATGTAAAGGAATTCACAATCTTGTAAAAATGACTATTTTAAGCCCGAATCAACTAAGAAAGAATATATCTTATAAAAACATCAAAACTCAATTCAATTGAATAGATTGTAATTATTTTGAGGACGGATGAGAATAAGAGTATGTGGTGAGTATGAGCATCGTTCTTTCTCGGCACACACGCGCATATACACTCCATACCCACACGAAGAAGCTCGAAAACGAATATAGGTATGGATACAATTTCAGCATGTGTTGATGATTATGATGGATCTAGTGTGCCTGAATTATTTGATGCACGTGGAAGCGACTGATTTGCTTTGAAAAATATAACCGAAAAAATGCGATTTGCCGCGGTAAACTACCATTTTTTTTTAGTTTTCATCACATTGGCGTTGAACACGTTAAAATATACCTAACAGAAGAATCAGTATATCTCTGAGAACACGTATTCAATCGTTGAAACAGTTTAGAACCTATGCAACGTTTGTCAATCTAACAGATTCTGTAAGAAAAAAAACAGGTCAAAATTTTGGTTTGATAGTTTTTCGAAATTCTATAAATAATAGTAACTTGAAAAAAAAAGCATACAAGTGGTTAAAGTTATAAGTTTGTTAAAACGATTTTGTTTACTGAAGAAAAAAAGCACTCTGTTGGAGAGAAAGAAAATTTAATTTTCTCTTAATCAATAGATTTTTCAGTATGATAATGAAAAATATTTCTCTATGTGATAGCAGACTCTTACTTCACAAACCTGGTATTTTTCTTCAAAATATATACCCAATCCTTGGCTAAACGTGTTCGTGAATCAATATATTGTCTACTTAAACAAAGAATTGAAAATAAGTGTTAGTAACAGGTTGGTAAAGAGAAATTTCTTTTTCTTAGTGACAGAACGGTTAAAATTATGCTAGAATGCATTAAAAAGAAATTTATTTTTCTCAGCGACAGAACGGTTAAAATTATGTTAGAATGCATCAAAAAGAAACGTGCATGCCGACAGAACAATAAACTGATTCAAACCGTCTTTATTGGTAACGTTTTGAATGAGAAAAAAAGAGTGGTAAATACAAAGAAGTGCCAATTAAGAAAAACGCGTTTCAGTATTTTTCACATAAAAACAATAAATTTGAACGCAAACAGTGTTTTTCGCTAAAAAGTTGCTATCGAAACGCTGTTTTCTAAACTACCGAAAATTTATATAAAGACTCAAGATAAGAGTATCTTCGCAATAGATTATATACTCTATATTTCGTACAAGTATAAAAGTTTTTCGTTAAATATGAATGGTCTCTATAGATTTCTTTCTTTATCATGGAAAATAAATAGATAAAGAGTAATTAGAAGAAAATAAAACAGAAAATTTTTTTTAGAATTTATTTTTTTCAATAAACGCTTTTTCATTTCTTTGTAATATCAAAATTGCTGCCTCCCACAACAGCATCCACTACTCAGGATTTTACTAGAATCCAATGCAGCTTTTATGTGTTACATAGCTTCTATACGTTGTTCAAACACAGTAAGAAAATGACAGAAGCATATTTATTTTGTAGATATGAAGCCAAACATTTGCACAAAATTTTACTACTTAAAGGAGACATACAAAGTATATGTCTATAGTTATTGGGTGAAGTAAAATCAAATTTTAAGTCAACCTAATTTGGCTAAATTGGATTTATAAATGTCATAATTTCGAAGCTGAGAAGTTGCCTTTTTTCTTCCAGTATTTAGTAACTTTGATGTTATAAAAATGCGTCTAACGATAATTTAGCAGAGGACATTTCATTAAACTGACAGAAAATTTCCTATTTTTTAACATTGGCATCAAATCTTTTGGTTGTGTCCAACTAGATATAAACAATCTATCAAAAACCTGCTATGTCCTTTATCACATGCTTTATGAGTGTTCATTTCTTTGTCTAAAACTAGCTTGACTACTGCTACTAACAACACCTTAAAAAGCAAAATGTTGTTGTGCTTGCGCTGCATGTCTGCCGAAAGTGATCTTGACTGCAACAGTTTATATTGAAAATGATCCAACGGAAAGAATTTCTTGAATAGTTAATGGATGACGAAGCAACAAAAGATGAAATGGATATAAATATCGATTTCCAATTAGATAAAGACTGTTCAAACGCATCCTTATTTTGACATGAACACGAAAACTTTTTTCAGATTTCTCTAAATTGCCATGTCGCATATAGCTAATAACACACGATTCAGCTGCTGTCGACAAAGAATTTTCGGTAGTAGGAGACTTTATCAACCAAAGACGACGTAATTTACGTCCCACAACTGTTATTAATATTTTATTTCTTTGTTCTAGAGAGAATAATAAAAAGGTTTATCAAATGAGCAGTTATCAGAGATGTCCATCGCGGCAGCGGCAGGTTTTTTAAAAAATCACCACGGCAGCGGCGCGGTAGCGGCAGATTTTTTTAAAAGTCATCGCGGCAGCGGCGCGGTAGCGGCAGGATTTTTTTTTGGAGGACATTGAAAAACTGTATGAATTTAATAGAATTTCAGGATTTACAAATGAAACGCCCTGATATTGAATAAATCTGATGGACTAGTACCCATATCTCTGGTCAAATATAGTCACAGCAGTGAAATTAGAAACACTTTTTTGAAAACCGTCGCAGCAGCGGCGCGGTGGCGGCACGTTTATTTTATAATTCATCGCGGCAGCGGCGCGGCAGCGTTTCTTTTATAAGTCATCGCGGTGCGGCAGCGTCGCGGCAACATTTTTTTATAAACCGTTGCGGCGCGGCAGCGGTGCAACAGCTTTTTTTTTCTAAGGCCGCGGCGCGGCAGCGGCAGATTTTCAGCCGCGATGGACATCTCTGGTTGTTATGCACTGCGATTTGAGAAAAAAAAACGAAGTTTATTATACATGATTAATTAGATTCATTGGATGTTTTTCATATTTTGACAAGATTATTTATCATGCTAATTCTTCGCATATGTTTAAAAAAAAACTTTTTATTAAAACTATTCAATAATAAATTCTAATAATTATTAATAAAATGGTATCATTTATATATCTCATTTAAAAATATTATTTCGAAATACAAATTTTGTTCAGCGAAATCAATATTTTTATTTTGTTCTAATCGAATTAGTTTGCACAGCTATTGTTCAGATTTTATGTTCATTATGAATAAACAAAGAATATTTGACAATTTCTACAACAATGAATAATTATTTAAGAAAAAGATGACACCTGTAACAACACCCCTATTATTATTTATAGCAGTTTTTATATATTTTCGGTTGCTTCAAAAAATTTTTCGTCAGATCGTTCAAAAACATTTATTTTGTTTATGCAGAAAATCAAACCAAGTTAATCTCTATACAACACTGCGACAGTAGAAAAATCATAAGTAACATTAGAGATCGACGGATGTAAAAAAAAAATGTCGTAATCATCAGAAATTAGTTTATTCGTTTATGATGCTATCTAGCACATCCTTCTTGCAAATGTAAATTAACTACTGTATATATACGTTTTCTGTATGGGTATTTTCAGTATAAAATTTTCACAGAGAAATACGTCGGAGATCTAACTTATCTTCGTCCGATGTTGGTAATCAATTGATATGAAAAAAGAAACACATAAGTATTTTTATTAAAAAAAGAAATAATCGCTGATTAAATTGTTTTAGCTATTTCTTCCATAAATTCGATAATCCAATCTTCGATTCGTCATTTAATTGTTTCAACGTTGTTTGAATGATGAAAACGAAATGTTGTTAATTCTCTCTCATTAATTTTCAAAAGTTCAATATTTAGAATTATTATTTTTCATTAGAAAAATCTTTTTTATTCATTGATTAAAAAGTATATTTATAGTCGAGATGATAATGTTGAAAAAAAAATCTATTATTCTGAATTGATCAATTTTTCAACAAAATTTAGTTATGGAGAATTAAATTCGATATGGAATAATCGTAAAATGTTGGATTGGACTATTCAAAAATACTGATTTAAGTTATCATAAATATCCTTTTTACGTTCATCTTTCTTTTTTTGAAAAATTCCAATTAGATTTTGTTTGTTTAAATATTGAAATAAAACTATCTGAATTTGTATTTAATGTAACAATAAATATGTTTTGTAAATGAATCACAATCAGATATTCGATGATTTTTTTTTATAAATAATTCTCATTGTAATAATCGATCAAACGGGTGTTTTTTCTTGTATTTAGTTTAGTCTCAGAACACTAAACATAAGTTGAATTATGAATAAAATCAAGAATAACATGTAATATAATGAAAATCTACTAGCGTCTTATAACGCTTTTATACTCATCTAGAATGAAATGTTTTAAGTCTGTCTTAATAACATATTAGAGTTCAATAGATGACCATAGAAAAGATTCGTCTATGAATAAAATCTATAAGAACAAGTTTATTCAATTTATCCTCATTATTATTATAGAAAACCATCTCAAAAGACATTACATATTGTTACCACGAAAGAAAATCACTTTTTCAGAATGATTGAACTCTTTATCATATGAATTTTTCACCAATCATATATTTCATTTTTGTCTTCATCACAAAAAGTCATTCAGGTCATCATATATATTCAATGGTCAAACAAATCTTTATTTCCATTATTCATATTATGAAAAATTTTATTAATAAAAGAGAAAAAAGATAAACGATTATTCAGATTATTTTGAAGCATTATTATATAGAAAATACGGATGAATAAAGATACAAAACGTCTTCTAGACGATATAAGTAATTATTCTATTTAAAACAATTCTTTTTTTTTGCTATTTGATTTATTAGAATTCGATTCACCATCAATAAAACATATTCGTCGTAATATAACTTGTTTACTTGATTTACCAGATGAAATTTTACTTTTCATTTGTCGTTATTTATCTTCCTATGATATTCTTTATGCATTTTATACACCATCGAAACCTGAACAACGTCTTCATTGTATGATATTAGATTATCGTACAAAAATAAAAATTGATGGAATAAAAAATAATGAATACAATTATTTATTAAAATTATTTTCTCATTCTCAAACTCCTTTACGACCAAAATCACTCATATTGAATAATGAAAATGTTACTTGTTTAACGTACTATTATTTTACTTCTACATCTGAACATGTAATTCATTCGATGTTTAGTAATTTAAAACATCTTACATTAACTGATTGCTCACAAAGTGATCTTCAATATCTAAATAAATATATTGAAAATCTAACAGAACTTCAATATCTTCATATAACTATTCGAAAACCTGATGTAAATGAAGGCATGTATTTATTAAAGAGATTCTATAAAAATGAGAACATAATTTTGATCTTATTTAGATATAGATGATTTTGAAACATATAGTATATTATTTAATCAATTATTATTTAATGAAAAACAAATTTCTTCTATTCATACAATTAATTATCAAATTTATTATGGACTTTTATTAAACAAATCATTGAGATCTCATAATAATCTTCGAAATATTAATCTTATTTTACAAACTATTGATGATTTATATATATTACTTGGTGGACTTGTTCCTAATGTTCAAACAATGATTATTAAATTGTATCAATTAAGAATACATTGTAAGTAAAGAACGATGACACATAAATGGACGAAGAACTCATCTTTTGTTGTCCAACAAAAGTATTTAGAATTCGGTGGAGAATTTTTTATCAAAGACGTGTATTTTCATAAAGAATTAATCAAAACATTTGTTGATGTTGCACTAATAATAGTATCATTCGAAAGAATTAAGTACGCTGCATGAATTAATGTATATAACCCATTTATAAATATTAGATATAAACTGAAATTCACACGAAAAAGTTGTATTTGTTATGAAGCTTCAATCTTTTAAAGTGCTTCTTAAATAACTTGATAATGAAGTCTTCTCTTAACGATTCGATAGAGTTTAGAAGAAAATATAATATTCAGATTACTAAAACAAAAAGATTCATCCAATTCTTTTCATTTGATCGAACTTGATGAGTCAAAGTCTGATATCTGTCTATTTCTGACTTGCCCAAGCAGACAAACTTTTGAGAAAACGCGTTTAAATGCACAGAAATTGGCCTAAAATCAGCAAAAAGTGGACGTTTTTGGCTCACATTTGAGGTTCCCGACTGTGAGCCAAAAACGCCCATTTATCGCCCTTTTTGCGCGTTTAAAAGCATTTTCAGGCAAAAAACGCGTTTACACGCATACAAAAAAGAGAAAAAAGTTGTTGAGTTTTTCCAGTTCAAGAAACGTGACTGTAATCATGATCGTGCATCCCGAGTATGAAAAAACGACCACTTTTTCTCTTTTTTGTATACGTGTAAACGCGTTTAAACGCGCAAAAAGGGCGATAAATGGGCGTTTTTGGCTCACAGTCGGGAACCTCAAATGTGAGCCAAAAACGTCCACTTTTTGCTGATTTTAGGCCAATTTCTGTGCGTTTAAACGCGTTTTCTCAAAATTTTGTCTGCTTGGGTAGGAGAAGATTTCACCATCATCAAACCATTTCAAATGAGACTATTTATCGCGTGATGCACAAATGTTTTGATTAAATTTTTGTTAAAATACAGACCTTTGATTACATTAACAATATAGTGTAGTAATCTGTGTCGAAATTCATTAAAAGGTTTTCACTATAGATTGAATTCTGCACCGAAATATACATGTATATATTTTGTTTTTTATTGAAAAACTGAAGATGGATGGATTCATTCTCGTATGAGGTCCCGTCTTTTATGGAAGAAATTATTCAAATAATCATTTATCTAACTTTGAACATATTTCTATTATAGCTTGTCATTATTCTCAAAATGCACGATCGACATGTCCTCAATTAACTGATTTTACATTATTTGAATCATCTATTCAATTTGTTATTGATGATATGAAATCTATTCTTGCTTATATGAAAAATTTAGTTAAATTAACGTTAAGTATTCATGATACATTTGATTCACTATTTTGTCATGGTCCCACTATTGAATCAATTTTAAATGAATATCTTCCACATCTTCTTCAATTTCATTACACAATAACTCATCAAATTGCTAAGCAAATCTTAATTGAAGATTTTGTTCGATGGCCAATGAATGTTACATATTATGGTATAGAATATTGTAGATGGATACATATTTATTCTTTACCATGGCCATCAAATAAAAATGATAAACGACATTTACCTATTGTCCGAGTTGGATCAAATACATCAGTATCATCAGATGTTAAAAAATCTTCACATAGGAAATATGTGACAATTACAAAAGATCACAAATTTTCTCTATTAAATACAAAACTTAATCATGTTTGTGAAATAATCAGTTCTGTATTGATTAGTATTAAGTTGCCATTTCGTATTTACAAAGTAATTTTTTCAATCAACACACGTAAGTATCTTTTATAAGAAAAAAAAAAATTGTTGATTAAATACTTTTAGCTATATTTTCAACAAATTCAATAATTCAACCTTCTGTTCATCATTTAATAATTAAACGTTGTTTATATAATAGAAATGAAATGTCAATACTTGCTCATCAATTTCCACGTGTTAAATATTTAAAATTAGATCTTCCATTAGACAAATGTTCATTTATTGATTGTTTAAACATTGTACGCAATCGAGAAGATAATATTCAGCAGAAGAGCTATTATTGGACTGAATTGGTCTGTTTTTCAACTCAATTATGTGATTTACACAAAAATATTATTTCAAATGAAAGTCAATTGTACGATTGGTTTATTCAATATATAAATTTAACATATTACAAAAATTCTCTTAAAGATGGTCGTGTTTCAACTTTAACTATTTGGTATTGATTAGTTTAATAGTTAAATAAAAAAAATCATGTGAATTTATATTTTATACTAGATTAATAAAATATTATCTTAATTGCATTTGTTTTTCATAACAAAACTACTGAGTAGTGTAACACCAATGATTCGTTGAACAAGACTTTTAACAAAAAAAAAGATTTTTATCCCACATAGTCCTTAGTCTATTTGAATCTGTATTAATCAATAGAATTGACAATATTTCTAAATAGATGCACTGTATCACAAGTGAAAATTAAGTCTAATACGCTGAATACTTTGGTCTTGTAATAGTTTCAAACCTAAATAAAATTCAATTATTGAACTAATCAATTGACATACAAACTATTTCAAAGAAACAATTGAGTATTTATTTGTACGGTTACAGGGTGTATCAAAACCATTACACTTCTCTACAACTGAAAGTAGAAAATGATACTACAAAGTATTTTATATCAAAATCAAGTATTTCTCGGGAAAGTAAAGGTTTCTTCTTCTTTTTTTAATACTAGAAATGAAAAATTATATTGAAGCATAAAGGTTTACATGAAAATACAACGAATTTTAATTATGTTTCAACGAAAATCGTCTGAAAGTAAAATTAGAAATGAGTTAGTTGAAAAATATTTCTAATTTCTCTATATTATAATTTGATATTTCAGTTTAAATTTCAAATAGCTAAAACTGAATTTAACTTCAATCAAGTCTCCTAAAAATTGTTTACATTAGCGATAACGAAAAAATTGCAGAAAATAAAAACATAATTGAAAATTAGTGCTATTCAATTTTATGTCATTAATCCTGTATTCTATGACACAAATATCTGTTAACAGTGGAATTTGAAAAACAGTGTAAAATTGTATTAAATAACATCTCAGAATACTTAGTCGTATGGTTCAATCAAATAGATGTCTAGCAATGAATATATTAAGTATATGATCGAATATAACCTTCTTCTCTTATAATTCTGTCATTTAGATCAGTCCGAACTTGTCCAGTACTTCACAAGGCTACAACTAGCTATTGAAAACGTACTAGATGGTTAGTGTTTTTCTTAAAACAACGAAACTTAACAAACAGAATGATTGCTGTCGATTAAGTCGTCTGGATGTGCGCTGTGGACTACAGATAACCTTGGACTAGTCATGCTCTAAGATTTTGTAACAAGAAGGCTAGACAGGACATAGCGTCATGACTAAAAAAAACTGACTAGTTTTTCTATTCGTTCTTTATTCGTAGGAGCACGCATCGCCGATAGATTTTCCTTTTCGTTGAGTTACATTGCATGAATCTTGTTGATTACTAATATGAAACAAGTATCCGCCTCTTATAGAATAAAATATTTTTCAGATCGCTAACAGACTAATTTATGTTAAGGAACCAAAGAAACTTGTGTATTTGACAATATTTAAATCTACATAAAACTAATATTTTTGTGGAATGCCATTTCCTTGAATGAACTTATTGTTACATTATCGACAATCTCATCATGGATTATTTTATTGAAGTGTGATCATGATCAACAATAAAATGAGAATTCTAAACATTATTCGTTGAAATATCCCAAGTGAGCAAAAAATGACGAAAGACGGCGTCCATGACTAGTCCAAAATGTCCACAACGCCCGTCAAGTCTAGTCTGAGACGTCTTGCACACCCGTCACGACTAGTCACCTTTGGAGAAATGTCCTT